TACTACTACTACTACTGCTACCACTGCTACTACTGCTACTACTGCTACTACTGCTACTACTGCTGCTGCTACTGCTACTACTACTGCTGCTGCTTACTCCTGTTGTTGTTTTTCTGTTGTTATTATTGCTATTATACTTTCATTAGTTTAGAACAAAAACGTTATGCGCTCTCTTGCACCCTGAAGGAAGCACACCTTGCTGGGACACCTGGGGCAGTTGTTAGCTCCCAGAACATTGAGGGCAAGACAAATAACGGTGGCGCCTGCGCGTTCAATCTGTGAGATAGCGCTTCTGGGTTGCCGTTAAGGAACTTAAGTTAAGTTACAATATGGGGGAACCCTATTTTGTGACATATCTACTCATTGTGGTAACTTTAGCTCTAAAATCTTAAACCCTAAACCCTATATACCCTACATACCCTCATACTAATTTAAATACTATATATATATATGTAGTAGTTTCGTTTAAGTTCCTTAACAGCAACCCAGGCTTTGGACCAACTGGATTCACACAGGCACTCTGCAGGCCTGGAGAGCGTGCATTGAAGTTCATTTGAGCTACAGTCTAAACTCGTTAAAGGGTGGTTATTTGGGGGATGTTGTAGGGGAGTATTATAGAGGTTCTTAAGGGGATGCTAGGAGTTTAGACTATAGCTCATGCAGCATCCGCAAGTGACAACTGCCAGCAGAAACCAGGTTGTTCAGAGCGGCTACTATTACACAGTGCCGGCCGATGTCCTGAGCAATATCATCGCAGCTTATCCAGAGGCCAACCGCACAGCCACAGCTCATGGGCGTCTTGTGGTGATTCAACTTCACCACGTACGCAACGACTGTACCGATCTCACGCCTTTGGAGATTGACTTCAACTCTTTGCGCAAGGCCTTCCCCTAAACCCTGAACCCTAAACCCATAATATTGGTAATTATCCCTGAGCCCTAAACCCTAAATCCTTAACATTGGTAATTATCCCCTCTAGAGCGGAGTGTTGCAGCTTGTGCCTTGTCATTTGCTGCCTGAGCAGGTCACGGTAAAATTTATGACCGAGGGTCATATGGTGTTCTTGTCGCATTTCAAGAAGGACGTCCAGACTGACGGGCTTGTTGCAAGTGCGCTTCATCTCTGTGCAAAGCAGCTGCATGGTTGCCAATTCAGTGGTATCCATCTGGTTTTACCCTGCCAAGTGAACGCAGGAAGCCGGGACGGAGGCAGCACTGATGCAAGATGCCCTAATGTCAGGGACTTGCGGGGTACTTTTGGCAGTGCAGACTGTTACTTGCTGAAAAAGCATTCCCGAGGAACAAGATTCAAATGGACCCTCACCACCCTGCGCATTATCTTGAGCATCCAGTTTTCTTGGACTCAGAGCCTTGTTGACAAAAAGCAAGCTGTCATTGCAAGTCCGGTGACATGGTGCCATGCTTTGCACACAGCTCTTGTTGAGGAGAACCTGGAAGATCTTACCAAACTGCGCGATCACATCCAGAAGAGCAGGAACATGGTGATTCTGGGTTGCTGTTAAGGAACTTAAATTAAGCTACTATATTGGGGAAACTTTATTATTTACTATATATACCCATTATGGTAACTTAATTTAAGTTCCTTAACAGCAACCCAGGATTTTGCTGACGCCCGGCATCTTTGAGCGGCCCTGGTGCTTGGTAGAGATGGTCTCTGTGCCTTGGCTAGTTTAGGGCTTAGGCTGTAGGGTTTACACTCCCTCTTATGTAGGTAGAATATGGAATTCCCTGGAACCATAATAAGACCCCCACATACCTCATATTCTATCTTATCGAGGTGGACTATAGAGGGGTACCGTGGGCAGCTGTTTCGGTGCAGCCGCCTGTGATTTCGCGGCCCAAGGCCTACAAGCAAAACAAAAACATCGCACCCAGCTCAGTTTTCACGCGTCAGCTTTGAGCTACTTTCGCAGCGAGTTTCTGAATTTGGTGCGCTCAGGGAACTTAAGCTTCATGTTTGGGTGGACAGGTTCCCGTGGAGATTCAAAAGCCCGACATGAAGTTCCAGTACCCAGACGAGGCCTTTCCTGTCAAGCCCATATCCTGACTAAGATCACGCGTTAGACATGGCAAGGACTTCCTTGCAGATGTTTGCAGCGGGCTTTTCTTTACGGAGACCGCCGCTTCCTTGGCACTTGTTCACGCTTTGTTCAATGATGCGACACAGGGTGATGGGGGGAAGTAGCGTAAAAGAGCATCCTCCACGAGAAGGTATTTCTTTTGGGCAATCACGATTTGCTGAGCCTCTCTGCTTTAAGCTTTGCGGACGTTTTGGCCGTCTGGCTGTATTTGATTTGGCTGGCGCTCGGATTTCCTATGTTTTTTTGTTTCTTGTTGGATTCATGGCATTTGATTTGCGAATTTTCGCAGTAGTGTATATACGGATGCTGTCATGCTAAAGGGAACGTGGAGGCAGGGTTCCTCGAAACAACAGCCCTCCTGACATGTGATGCGCTTACATTCTGCATGTGGCGGCGTGTTAGGCTTTGTGATTGTGGCGCTTAGATTTCTCGTAATTACAACTACGCTTTACAACGTTTTTGCTTTCTTTGTTTTTTGCTTTGCGTTCTGTGAAGTATGACTTAGCGTTTTCAAGGCGGCCTATCCTTGTGCTTTTTTCAGACTTGTACAATTGTATACAGAGGTTTCATAGTTATTATTGACATGCATGCTTGTACACGGGCTGTTGATGTATCCACTTTTTCGTTTCACTTGCCATTCTCATTGCTTCGTACAGGTATGCAGCGCGTTTACGCAGCTGCATTCTCATCCGTCGTAGAAAGCATTTGCAAATGGCACGGGAGCTCTGTTTGATAAATGTTTACTCCTTTCCATTTTCTGTTCCATTATCCTTATATAACCCCTGTAAACCCTCTATTACCGCTTTACAACCCTTTATAGTGTAGTAGTTTCCATTTTGCTTTCCATTATCCCAACCTTCAAGCTCCTGGATGGTCTCCGGTTTACGGTGAGGAAGTCCCCTCTTGACCCCTTCTCTTACGAAGGTCATTTGTACTAGAGTCTAAACTCCTTAAAGGGGATTATATACGGGACTTCAGGGGGATATTAGGAGTTTAGACTGTAGCTCATATGGCGGCCTGGAACCAGGAGGAAAGGACAAGAAGAGTAGAATGCAGCAAGTACTCCTGCGGCCCCTTGCCCAGCGTCAACTTGACTTTCCTTGGGTGCGTCATCTCCTCATACTTGTACGAATATAGATTGCCCCCCCCCCTCCCCAATTTGTATATAAGGTTTTTTGGGTGACAATTGATACTAGGCAGGCGGTGGAGGGTTGTTTATTTTCAGTAAGAAGTGATACTGACGCAGCCAGCTCCTCCTGGAATTAGGGGGCTGTATGACACTTGATGCGTCTTCTGGCTAGCCAACTAATCCTGGCCTCATCAGTGGTCATCTAGGAGTGAACTATGTGAGTGGGCAATATCAGGACGACAAATCCTGTTGTTTAGAGGGCTTTCTTGAAGAGGGGGCGGCTGGAGTGATTGATGCGCTTGTTAAGACCGTGGTCAGATGAAACCTCAAAGATCCTCAGAGAGTCCTTCAGTAAGGATATGCAAATTTTCGCGGTGGAGGGGATCGAGCTGAGCGAGATCGAGGTATCTCCAAATTTACGCATGTGAACTTTCCCTGACATCCTTGCAGTCGATGGAAACATGCGTTATGTGTCCAGCGTGAGTGTGCCACTTGCACTTGTGCAAGGCTGCGGTTCGACACATCCTTACCAAAATTTCCGTCACTTTCTCGCCACACAAAGCAAGCTGCATGACTGCAAGTGCTTTTTTGAGCACATCTTGGTGAGGAGCGCTTCGATGCAGATTCTTCACCTGTCCTTTGAGGTTCCATCAGGGATGTCGAGATCAAGACGATACTTCAGCGATGTACCATGTAACTCATTGCCTTAGCGTCCTTGCCATTCTGATGGTTGCCCTGGAGCCAAAAATGTGGCTCCTTGCAAATATTATGGGCCTCAGTGGCAGACCCTGATGGGCGCACTCCTTAACAAGGAGCACCTTGCCTGGGCCTGGCCTAGCCAAGCTTCGGCTGCATGTTTGTAATTCTGGGAAACCCGAAGCCAAAATCTCTAAACCCTAAACCCTAAACGTCCCTATATAACCTGTCTACAACAGTGCAGCCTTCTTAGCACCGGAATTGTTGCTTAGTCCTGAAGCCACCCTTCCTGAAAGGAAGGCAAGAGCTTGATACATGATTCTACCCTGGATGCTATATGCAGGAGCTCTATTTGGGGTTATGTGTAGAGTTTTTTATGGGAGTCACATTAAATTATAGATGAGGAGGGTGAAGCATGATGAAATATAGTCACAAGGTGCAAAGAGTGTTGAACTCTGCCCTATCGGTTGACCAACTTGCATCCAGGCGGTGTGCGTGCTGATGTCAAGAGATCTGGGTCATTCTTGGGTTGCTGCATGACTTTGACATTTGCACATCTTTTCTTTCAGACCCTAAACCATAAAAACCCTACACCCTAAACCCTAAACCTGCGATGCGCGTGTCTAAACCCTAAACCTAGTGTCCTTTCCCGGCAGATCTTGATACAAAGACATGCATGCTTCTGTCTCATAGCCTCATCGTTGTATTATGAGGATGCGCCAGTAGACGCGTTGACCTCGGGCGTTGAGTCACAGCGTCTCCTCGAAGACGTCTTCGAACCTTGACAGTCTTAGCTTTCGCCCCAAGACCACTGAACCTGAGGATAAAGATGGGAGTTTCCGGACAGGAGCGTCATGGGTCATGGTTGTCGGGTGCTTGTACACAGTTTGCCTCATGTCTGGAACAAGTGTTGTAGTCTGGCACTCAAGGCGTTGTGTTTTACGAAACCCTGCGCGGCTCAAGCAGCCGTGGCTCTGAATATCTGATGCTGGTAAACGCTATGGCAGACCAGAGGCCTGCAGGAACAGGAAAGAGGCAGGGTAGAGGGTACGGGGGAAGATAACTGGAACCAAAAGCAAATGGAGTAAAGAAGAGAGAGCAGCTGAGCAGATCTAAGAAGCAAGCAGGGTGACGGGGGCTGCTTGGAGGGTCAGGGGGACTCAGCAAGTAGGTTAGTAACCCATACGGGTTATAGTAACCGTGGTCATCCCCATTTTCAACTTGCTTATTGAGTCTCCTGGACCCTCCAAGTAGAACATCCTTGACAGTCTTTCTGAATGGCGATTTGCACACGTCTTTGTTGCGCAAGATCGGGTTTTGCAACACCATGTACTTTTTTGTATGGGGGAGCATATTTGTCTTGAAGCTTTTCACAAGGAGGCAGCCGGCAACCCTTCGAATTGACTGTTGGTTGTTTGTCATGTTTTGGTGTGGCTGACTGAATGACAAGCGGCAAGAGACATACTCCGACAAGTTTTCCTGCGTGTAAAAGGGTTGCAGTTTTCTCCATGCAGTGTACGGCATAGCATAATGGGATTACAGGTTGTGGAGGTGCATTTTAAGAAAGTCTTCCTTGGTAATGGGGCACGGCTCCCCACCAAATTGTACCTGATCATTCCGGAAGATTGACTTGTAGAAGCTTGGGGAAATTTTTGCAGAGTGATAAGGTTGCCAGTATCCGTTGGACGAAAATTGTTTCTGTTGCCGCATTTTGTTTGTGAAGGTGTGCTGATCAGCCAGACTGTGTTGTTCAAGGGTTTGCTTTGCCTTTCGCTGCCTTCTTTGGTGTTTTCAGCTGTAAAAAGCATGCACGTTGTAGTCCCTACATGATATATCCCCCTAGCCCTTACAAACCCTTAAGCCTAAACCATCAAGCCCATGATAAACAGAGATTGTATTCCCACACGCGATTTTCGCCTTTATGAGTAGGTATGTGCTTTTTGACCCTTATTTGTTTTAATCTCTTGGAACCAGTTTTGGCTTTTTGGATCCAGCTTGGGCATTTTAGAGCCTTATCTGCCTTTTTGAACATTTTTTTTTGGGCCTTTCAGAGCCAATTGAGATTTTTTTGCGCGTCTACCGATACTTAAACACAGAGAAAAACTCCTGGGATGGAAATTTGCTTTCTGCCGTGCATGCGGAAGCCTGCAGAAGGTTTTGCGGAAGCATGATGCTNNGCTCGCGGAAGCTCTTGCGGAAGCTGTTTCTGGAATTCGTTGCTGTCGATGAAAGAACCAGTGCAAGACTAGAAACGATGTTCGCCGAAGCACCGCGGAAGCACCTGCCAAGAAAATCATCGCGGAAGCGTCCGTGGAAGCAAGGTGTTTTTTGAACTGCCGACCAAGAGGAACCTAGTCTTCGCGGAAGGTCCGCGCAAGCTCGTGGGCGGAAGGGTTGTTGTTTCCAAAGAAATCAATAAGGAATAAAAACCACAGGCTTGTTGAAGCCAATCTGGGCTTCGTGGAGCCAATTTGAATGCTTTTGGAATCAATGAAGCCAATGCGGGTCTTTGGAGTTTAGTTGGGCCTTGGGAGCCTTTTGAAGCCACTTGTGGCATTTTGACCTTTCGGAAGCAATTTGTGCATTGTGGGCCGATCTTGTTCGTTTTGAATCCCATTGGACTCCAAATCGCGAGCACAGAAGCAAAAGCAAAAACTCGCCCAAAACCCGCCCAGAATTCAGTCAAAACTTCCGGCCTGAACCCTGTACAATTCCTAGCCTTCTAAGGCAAAAGTAAACATGCCCCCCGAGCAGCCCGAAAAAGTTGACAGGCCAGGTTGAAAAACACACCAAAAACGCGTTGTTGGGAGGAAAAGTGACGTGGCCTTGTGGGACCAAACTTGGCACTTTGGAGTTGGAGCCATTCTTGCATGTCGGCTGTTCTTTTCTGTTTGGAATGAGTTTCTGCCTTTTGCAGCCCTTTTGGCATTTGGGAGCAAAATTTGGCAATCAGGATCCAATATGGGCCTTAAGCGAGCGAGTCTTAGCCTTCAAAGCAAAGGCCAAAACGCCCCGAAAGCGGCCCAAAAAGTGGAGAGGCCAGGGTGACAACACCCTATATCACATATTCCCTTATTCCCTACATATATTCCCCTATTCCCTACATATATTCCCTTATTCCCTACTAATCCCCAGTAAGTGCAAGTGGAACGGCAGTGGGGGTGTTTTTGTTTCCCAGCTCCAGGTGCTGCAACCTCCACATAAGCTTGGCTCTGAGCTTTTCCAGTGGATGCATAACAGTAATTATGGTAGTCATAATAATAGTAGTGGAATAGTAATACTAATTATGTTAAGAATAAGACTGATAGTGCAAGTAGTAGTAATAGTAGCAACAATCAGAATAGTAATATTGGCGTGAGTAGCCGTAGCCTGCTTCGCACCTTGAGAAAGTGCTTTGTACAGTCTGGGTTGCATCATGCTTTATGTGCAAGAAGGCAAGAGGGATCAAAGTTGCTTGATGTAATTGGGTGCTGAACCGGCCGTGCTACCTCTCAAGCTCAAGAATCTCCTCCGTCAGCATGCACGATTTATGCACGGATGCTTGCACGGCGCAGACGAGCTGCAGAGGCAGGCATGAAAAGTTCCACAGAGCCTGAGAAAGCAAAACAACGTTTGCTACGGAAAGCCAGGCTTCAAATACATCCAGCATGCGGCCACTAAGAAGAAGCAGGACATGGGCTTCCGAATGCTTTTGGAGTTGTTTTGCAGAGATTGTTGTGAAGGAACCTGCGTGGGATGAGAAGAGGATGCTCAGGCCGTGTAAGTGTAGCTTCAGTCACTTGCCGCGGCTGTATAGTTTGCGCAAGCAAATCATCTTGCCCCATGGTCCTTTTGCCTCTAGAAGGAACATTGCAGTCGCGGCAGTGCACAAAGCGCCTACACTTATGATTGCTTGCAGATTTTGCACACCTACCCGTAACTTTTGTCAAATGCAGAGGCAATTCAGGGGTCATAGCTTCTCAGCGATCTTACTCCTGGGCAAAAGGGCCGCAGCAAAACGTGCCATTTAAAAGTCATGATGATCATAAACTGCATGTAGCAGCTGGCCCTACACAAGTGGAATAGATGGATAGTGATAATGAAGTTGGCATCTAACGTGACATGATCTCCTACCCTACCGCAGGTGTATGGCAAATCCTCGATCTGCAGCGCATGCCTTGCGGCAACTTGCTAAAGGCAAGCAGTGGTCCCAGGCGGTGCAGGCGAGGAAAGAGCACACGCATCATTTTGTTGTGTCAGGTGTGCTCAGGGATCATTTGGTGTGGACAATGCTTGGGGGGGTGTGCTTATGGAGTAGAGCTCCTTTTCATGCAAGTCTTTAGGAAGCGTGTAAGTTGCAGCGCATTGTGTCATGCGGCAAGAGACCAGGAGACGGCATCACATCACGATATTTAATGATAAGTTTACAGCAGCTCTCCAACCTGGTCATGGGCCATCTTCATGCGGACTAAGCTGTGAGAACCTTCTGCGCATTTTGTACGATTGTCGCGGGTCAGTTCAAAGACTCGATCAATTGCAGCGATGGAGCTCATTTGCAGGTTTCCTGTTGCTCTGGGAGTTTCGGCGGACAAGAGTCTGAGCAAGAATACCAAGAATTTTGCAAAGCAGTGGGTGTGACAGGACGCAGGCTTGCACGATTATCCTTACAGAATCCTGCCCAAAATCCCCTTGTAATCATCCTGGTCAACCAAGCCATAGTCATCAGCACCATGGGTTCAAGCTCCCCAGGCACGCGGTATGGCTCGTACTCATTTCTGCGAGGCACTTCACGCGATGCAGGACGCAAATGTTGAGGTGAACGCTTTTCACCTGAGTAGTGTCTGGCGCTGAATTCAGACCTTTGCTTTGACATTATGTGGGGTGTTGGTGCGCTTCAAGGTCATGAGCGCGTGTGAGAAGGCATCGGCGTGGAGTCAGGCTTTGAGCCTGTTCTTTAATGCTAAGCCGGTGACTTGGCTGCAGCCGGCCCAAATTCTGCCTCTGGATGGCCGATGGGCCGTCAGTGGAATCTGCTTTAAGTGCAGCTGCGCAGAAAACACAGGTTGAGGTTGTGTGCATCTAGCCTGGCCTCTACCTTTGCATAAAAAGGGGGAGGGAAGCGGGGGGGTGGGGGAGGCAGGGGGGTGGGAGGCAGGGGGTGGGAGGAGGGAAAATAGCCGTAGTGGGACTTGTGGACCTGGGGGACCTGCCAACTTTCAAGCCAGACCCTCAGGCCAAACCTTCAAATTGACCAAAACAGAGAAAAAGATGACAAGGGTTCTGTTCAAGGTTATTTACAAAGCTTATAAGGCCTACGTAGGGTCCACTCACTTGTTGATGGTCTTAGATCTAAACACCTCAGGCCTCAGGCCTTGGTAGACCAGCAGGGTGCTGTATGATTTTCGGGGCCGGCGAGTTGCCTTGCGTCAAGGCAAACCGTTGCTGTCCTATCTGATAAGGCGGATCTTGACACTGTGTGCTTCAACTCCGCGATCAGTGCTTGCGGAAGATGCGACTGGGCTGAGGCATGAGGTGGTTGTGCCAGAAATCAGGTCCTGACACAGATAGTAGTTTCCCAAAATAGGGGGACCCCAATATAGACCCCAATATACTATAGTCCTTATTATGGGGACCCCCAACAGGGTACCCAAAATTTTGGGAAATCCCCAGATTGGCACAAGTACAAGCTCAGGTGCTCAATGGGAGCATGCCATTGAGCTGCTTGGAATGCTTTCGAGGAGCTCCTGTCCCAACACCATCAGCGACTTGCAGAGCATTACAGATAGACATCGAAAGGCATTGATTAGGTGGACCCCCCACCCAGTAACAGTGACTATAATGGATAATAGGGACCATATTAGGGTCCTCATATATTCCTATTATACCACTATTACATGGTGGGGGTTCCTCCTAAGGCATTGATCTGCTGGTGTGTGATGGGAGGCTACAACTCTGCAATCAGTGCCTGTGGAAAGTCCAGCTGCTGGACGAGGGCGCTGTGGACTTTCACGTGCATGCAATCGGCGAGGCGCCAGACGGTTGTGGAGTTGATGGCCCTTGCAGGGATTGACGGCTCGCATTGTGCGGGGAATGGCGCAACAAGTCCGAGCTCTACTTGCCATTTCGTTTTCCATTTTTTGCCATTTCATCCTCCCTTATTGGGATACAGTATCCCTATACCACAACGCCATATAATATAGTATGACAAGGACAGTGTTTTCAGTTGTACTGGTAGCATTGACAGTAGAACAAAGGTCGTTGTACTTTGTGTTTCTTTTGATGAGTAGACACAGTCGTGGTGTCGATTGTCATGAGAGTAGTGTTGAATTTTTCTATGAATATGCTTGTCTTTGGCCTGTCCATCCGATGGACGTGTGTGTCTCTGCAGGCTGGATCAGGATCGAATTAGTGGCTCGGCTGAATGCATTAATATTCTTTGGGACAGTTTCCTGAGCAGATGGCTGGGGAGTTCGGTACGCATGGTTTGATGGAGGTCACAATGCTGCCATCAGTGCTTGTGAGCGGGCAGGGAAATGGGACGGGGCCCTTACCCTGCTGACGTGCATGGAGCAGCAGCAATTGGCGCCCGATGTCGTGAGAACCTCGCTGGCACATTCAGCAGAATATCAGCACAAAAAGGAGAGGGGTTTGGCTTGTCTGCACACCTAGGCTACGGTGCGACGATAAGCGCTTGTGAGAAGGGAGGGAAATGGCAAGAAGCATTGGGCCTCCTCGACTGGATGCTCCAAATCCGCTTGCTGCCATCGGACATTTGTCGCATGGCCTGTACAATGTCAATGCGGGACTTTCCTGGAGGGTCTTCCTTGCAAAAGACAGCTGAAGCACAGGCTGGAATGCTGCCATCAGTGCGTGTGAGTGCCTTGGACGCGAACATTCGCGGCTATGCGTGTGGTCCATGCAAGTGTATTGAGCCCCTGGGACATCTGCTTGCCAGGAAGAGCGAGCAGTGGCAGAAAGCTCTACTTTTGTTGCCTTGCGGCTGCATTGCTGTATGGTGATGTGGCCAGCCTTGTACGTGCATTTTGGGCGAAGATTCTCAACTCTGCCTGAGGAGCTTGATGCCCTCTGCTACGCTGACCCCTGATGTCGTGAGCCGCTTTCCTGAGATCTTCTCATATCCTGTCCTTGGTAGGCCCCAGGATTTGCAAGGAGAAGTTCTTGTCTTGGTTGCAGTGGTGTTGAAAAGGGCCTGTGTTGAATAGTTGATGAGGCTTCAATGCTGCAATCAGCGCGTGTGAGAAGACTGGGCACTGGGAACAAGCTCTGGCATTGCTGCGGCTCACATGGCCTTTGCTTTTACATTTTCTTCTTGTAGGTTCTTGCTCATGGCGGTAAGCTCCCCTTAGCCGATATCTAACCTAGCAATCCTTTCGGGCAGAGTGCGCTAAGGAACGCTGCGCCAAGTGCAGAGGTCATCACATTCAATGCGGCCATCAGTGCGTGCGAGAAGCTAGTGCTGCATCAGCCCAGTCCAGTATGGTGACATCTCGTAGTCACCGTAGTCGAACTGAATGGCACTTGAGCTCCTGGAGCAAGGCGTTTGACAGTTTCAAATCTGTGTTCGGCAACAGTTGAGCATGCTTGCGAAATTGTGTAAGCGCTGGCCCAACAGATCGTGCGAACTCCAAGTAGGAAAGTCGAACATCTTGGGTAATCTCGGGGTCGAACCTTCTGATGCTATGCACGAATGTCTATGTAGCTTTACGGAGCCTTACGCCTTTGGCCAGTCATTTCGGACTTCTTGACTTCGCGCCATGACGCGCCTTCACCGGCGTGTGCTGCTCCCCGTGGCTGCGGCTGCGGCCTTTGCTCTGAGCGGCCTGTGCTGGATTTCTCAGCCTGTGGCTCCACGACAGCTGCGGGTGTGCCGACGGGTGGCCGATGAGGTTGGGCTGATGTCATAATGTAAGTTTTCTAGATAAAGGTTGCTCCCACATGCCATCCGGGTCTTCACGGGCCATTGCCTGCCGAGACTAAGCTGTGGGAGGCCGTGGATCCGGGTGATTGCAAGGGCGTCCGTGCCAATGCGGTCAGTGGCGTAGTGCTTCCTGAGATGGATGCTGATGAGCCCGCTTGGCTGTCCTTTGTGATCTCTCGGTACTTGGATGAGGCTGGGAAAGTGCAAGGGGATCCAGGGGCAGTCTTGGCTGGTTCCATGCCGACGGCAGCTTGTCTTCCAAACCCAAACAGACGCCAGGAGTGGCTGGAGCAACCAGTGCACAAAGAAATCGGGGATGCAGTCGCCAAAATCTACACGGAGGCACGTGAATCAGGTGCGACTGCCCAGTCTTGAGTGCAGTAGCACTGGTTGTGTTTCGGCTTCAGCTGGCAGAAGTCAAGAGCATGATGTTTCCCGGAGGGATCCAGAAGAGACTGTTTGCAGAGTGCATGCAGGTGAGAATGATCTTGTTGCAGTTCTTGCAACGCTCTCCTACGGTCTTAAGGACGGCCATCTTTCAGTAATGTTTCACTCCCAAACGGGTAACGCGGGATTCCTCCGCAAGTTAAGTGCAATTTTGATAGGAGATGTGGATATGCGCCCACCAGGACATGTGGAATTCCGCAAAGTTCACAGAGGCCTTTGAAGGTCCCGTAGATGTGGCGAACCGCGTCGCGGAGCTATTGATGCTTCGTATGGGAAGCTTGGAATGCATGGCCGTGTTCAGTGATAAGGTTGGCAGACCAGCCGCTCATCATGCTGTTACTACCTTATTTGTGATGGTTACTCTTATTGCAACAGCAAGAACCAGCATTCTTTGTGCTGCTACTATTACCACCACCGCTACCACTACTTACTGCTGCTACTGGTGCTTTTAGAGCATTTCCACATCGAGTCTTGTTACCGCTGCTATTCTTGCCGTTGCTCTCCTCCATTTCCCGAATTGTTGGTCATTACTGGTCATTATTTCAATGAAGCAGCTAAGCTCATTATCATTATTGTCATAATATTTATGGTTCTGATTTTCTCAAAAAATATTATTGATATTAACTTCAAACCCATTACTACGGTTATCACTACTATTTTTATTGCTATTTTTATCATCATTATGAAGCAGCTATCCCAGGCGGCGAGGTTTGGAGCTATGGCCGCAGCAACTCGGATGTGCAGGAGACGATGGGTTGCTGATTAGGGTTTAGGGATTAGGGTTTAGGAGCTTAACTTAAGCTACTATACTAAGGGTATATAAGGGGTAATTACATAGGGGCATATAGGGATACATAGGGTTTAGGGTTTAGGGTTACTATATCGGGATATAATATAGGGTTTAGGGTTCAGGGTTTCATGTGCAGGAGAAGATGCTGAAGCGTCTCCATGAGTACGAGGAGGTGCTTCGGCTTGTTTACAGTGGTAGTCATACGCGCAATAGAAATGAGAATAGGAAAGGTCATGGCAGTAGTACGGGCAACAGAAACGCTAACCGCAGTATAAATAGTAATAAACATGGACATGGCAGCAGCAGTAGTAGCATTGGCAGTAGTATTTCTAGTGATGGTGAAACGAAGTAAGCGGCAGCTTTGTTTGCACCTGTGTATGGGCAGTTTAATATTCCCACACGCACTTAGTTTTGGGTTGTGGATTGGGATGAAGTTTCAGACGTGTAGTCACCTTGGGTAGATGCGCATGGCCTGGCGTACTTCAGCCTAGAATTTCCAAGGTTGAAAAAAAGAAACAAGGTCGGAAAAAAAATAACAAGGTTAAGAATAAGGTAATCCCTTTTGAATGGCCTGATGAGGGCAGGCTGGTTTGGGTATGTCACAGCTTCAAGCCAAGGCTAGACAGCAGCTGAAAGCGGTCGTTGAGTAGGCGCCTCACTGAGAAAGCCTCAATGAAGGGCACCTGCAGAATACCCGGAACGGAACGTCTTCACAGGGTAGACATCAATCTCACCAACAGTTATCAACCGTGCCATGTTGCTTGCACCATGGAAAGCTTACCCTGTGCCTGCCAGCTTTAAGTTAGCCGCTGGTTTTTCAAGCGGCTCACGACTGGCTCAATTTTAAGAGCCATCGCGCTCGGCGCTCGGCGCCCGCAATCGGATTCAGTTCTTCTCGACAAACCGCATATGTTCGAGGTCCTGTGCTCTTTCGTGCTGGTATTGTGGATACTTACAGCAGTGTAAAATGATTTTCTGTTTTGGTATGTGTTGAACTGTTCTCATGTTGGGAAGTTCATTGAATGCTTTGGCCCACTTGTATGGGCATCTTCTGCTGCAGTAAGCGCGAGCAGTGAGGCTCCCTGGCTTGCTGTGAGCCTTGAATACCACGCTTGGGGCCGCTTTTTCTGTACCTTCTTGGCAACTCTTCTGACCGTCGGTTAGTAGGGAGTGTAGGAAGAGCGTGGCAGTTATAGTCGAAGTTGTCATCGCAGAAATTGCAGAAGCAGTGCTGATTGTCTTAGCTGTACTTGTAGTTGCAGCTGGAGTTAGGAGTACCGAGATGATGAATCACAATGTCGCAATATTTCTTGCTCTACTATCCGAAAGCCAGTGCTGCGAAATTCTGAGTTGGTTCGCGGCCAAGAGCATAGATTCCACTCGTTGTTTACAGCATTCCCTTTGCAAATGCCCGTTCTGCTTCAAGCAACACGTGCCATCAGCACGTATGGGTATCGTACAGTTTCTTTTTCTTTCAAAGCTTCTGCTCACTAGGAGGAAGGGGGCATGTTTTCAATCAAGAATAGATCCATTCGTCCAAGTTTCATTCCCCAGTGTTGAACCTCGTGGAGGTAGATCAGCAGTCCGGCTTGCCAAAGGCCGCTGGCCGACTCAGATTCGCAAGTTGAGCCCAACGGATTGGTTTTCTACATGGGCCCCGGCTGAGACCCGACAAGTGCTGTGAAAACGGATGAGGCTTGCACGTCATGATTCTTCCTACTCATTGCTTACTGAACATGACTCTTGCGATTCCAGACTTCCAAATCCCCTCGACACATACATGCATTTTAATGTGTATGTGATGCTTCTTGTGTAAGCAATGTATGGTGAGAATGCTAAGACTGGAGTGTTTTGTGCGTTTCCTATACTGATGATTCCGGTAGACATCCTAAACAAGTGTTCACCTAGTTCCCGAATCCCCGGACATGCCCGAAGCCCCTAAAGGTAAGGAAAAGAAATTCTATGTCAGTCCAAGGAAAGGCGACCAGTGGGAGCAGGCACTCGGACTGTTGTGGGTGATGCCAGACGCTTGTCGGGTTCACTTCATAGTCTCGCAAAGTAAGGAAGGTAGAAAATGACGTGCAAAACAAGCAGCAGTAATGGTGGTGGTCGTAAGTAGTACTCTTAGGCAGCAGCAACAGCAGCCGCAGAGTAGTAGAGCAGTAGTAAGAGCAGCAACAGGAATATTACGAGTACTAGTAGCAGTAGCAGTTCAACCAGCAGTAGCAATTGTCAAGGCGGTAACGCGAGCGTAAAAAAGTTGTAGGCACAGCTGGCTGGCAATGCCAGCATTTTTTTACGGCGTGGTCAACCCGGACCAGCAGGAGAATAAGGCTTTCAGCTTTGAGCCCTCTTGATTCACAGTGGCCTTATGCAAGGCAAGGCGTTGGGATATGCCATGTGACTGCGGGCGCAGAGCAGCCAAGGAGAGGAGTGTTTGTCCAGATGTCATTAGCTTCAACTCGGCCATGGCAGCTTTGAAGCGTGCTGGCGAGTGGGAGAAGACCCTACACTTGATGCAGCTCATGGACTCAGAAAGCATTCCCTTGAGAACGTCAACGTACGTGAGGGTCTTGGTTGTCTGCAGAGTAAGCTTAGTGAGCTCGTCTTTCTTGTTCTCGTCTTTGAAGAGACAGCTTACGCTCTTCACTGGACCTCAGGTGATGTCAATAGATGCATGTGGCAAGGCCAACCTTTGGCACTTGGCAGCGGGAATGATCGATGAGATGCATGCGCGGAGCCTGCCTCCTGATGACTCTTGGCGAGCGGTTGACGGGCACCGCGTGCACTTAGCAAACGATCAAATTGCAGCGCAAGCCAGCCATGATTCGCCACGCCCAGGACTTCTGCTTCCACGCCGCGATCAGCGCCTGTGAGGAAGGTGGCTTCTGGCAGCAAGCACAGAGCTTGGTAACAAGCATGCAGTCACCTGGAAGCAGTGCAGGAACCTTGCTGTAACTGCCATGTGGCCCATTTTCCAAAAGCTGCATGGGCCCATGATGTCCTTGCAGCACCAAGGCGAAGCAAACTGAGACTTGTCATGCAAAGTGGCAGTCCGCACCATTGCAAGCAGCCCTTTCTTAATCACTCGGTAAGTCAAAAGTCCTATGCAAGCTCTTCGTCTTCTGTTTCTTCGTCACAAAGTTACCACCCGCTGCAGGAACTGTGCATGTTCTGCGGCTGCAGTCATGCCAAGGAAGGTCGATGGCATCTGTTGGGGCTCCGTACTGCACGCCATGACGCAGGCTGATCGCGAGGACTCTGTTGCTGGAAATGTCAGAGCTAAGGGGTCCCAAATCAATAAACCATTTTCTACATTACGTGGGCAATATCCCCATACGCTATACATACAGGTATCGTGTGTGTATGCATTTTTTGTACATATACTCATAGGTATATATATATATACATACATATCGTGTGAATAGGTATATATGTATTTATGCACCACTATTGGGAAGACAGAGGACTTGGCTCGAGAGGTCTTGGAGAGCCTGAGGCGGGTGACCCACACTGCCAAGTGGAAGTCTGAAATGTACATGATACTACCTGGCAAGTCAGGTCTGCTCTTAGAGTTATACAGGAGTTGTATAGGCGTATGTAGGAATGGAAAGAAAAGAACATGGACAGCAGTATTCTTACCAATAGAGCAAGTTACAGCCTCCAAGTTGTGCGCCTAATTCCCTCTGCAGTGAATGCCAAATGCATCGCCAGCTTCTGATCCTCCAACGCTTTTGTCCTGGTCATAGAAAAAGGTCAGCTGCTATTCATAGGATGATTGTACTTCGAAAGCTGATCACATCAAATGGTGCGTAAAAAGCTCGCTGTGTCTGCAGTCATGGATCGGAGGCAGAGTTGGGCACGAGCAACGCCACAGCTTTGGGCTCAGCAGAAGAACACAAGATTCCACAGTGCTACTTGATGTTTGTTCTGATCGTCATGCCGAAGCGTTTTCATGGCTCCTCTCGCGCTCATTGATCTTTCTCTTCTTTGCTTTTTGTTGTCAGGGGAAGCCTAGACAACCAGTAGGCGGAAATGCTATTGTAGAGTTTTTGAAAGAATGGTTTGGGCTCAGCACTAATGTGTTCACACAACGCTAGTGCATTGGTGGGCTCTCGCTCACCCTCAACATATCTATTTTCTTGCACAGCATGCGGCCGGGGCTCTTGGTTCTGCAGCCTAGTAAATTCAGGAGGACACAAGGCGCGTGTATGCAGAAGGCTTCTAGTTTCTTTTGAAACATCTGAGAACCAAGAGAACTATGCCTCAACCGGAGGCCCGGTCCCAATGCCTTGTCAAAGTTCAGCCAATATGTCACAGGAGATACAAATTTGTCCTCCACAAACCCTAAACCCCACCTACGGGAGCTTTGGTCATAAGCTGCTCACGAGGCCGCGGCCTTACACGGTACAGAGACATGCCTAATCAGGACAGAAATTGAATTCGTTCTTAAAAAAACCAGCCCGAGGTGGGTACGGCTTTCTAAAAATCTTGTCTTGTCGGACTTGTAGCCAGCAAATGGGTGGGATAAAGTTCCGATAGAATTTGGGACCGGGAATCGGGAATGCTGCTGCTGCTGCTGCTGCTGCTGAGGCTGTGTGGCTGTTTCTAGTGGGTCGTGGGTCATATCTCTTGTCAAGAAGCTGTTTGGTGTTTACGTGA